TCGTGAAGGCCGCCATCAGAATTCCCCCAAAGCATGCTGGGATACAGTGGAGCCTATCGGGACCATTCATTGTAGCCTATCATAACATCTCCCTTTCCTTACCAAATGAAAATCTGTGAACAAGTAATGTAAACAAACAGTATCCTAAACATAGGAATAGTACTGAAGTCACATTTGCCAGTTATTGTAAGACATATGAGTCCTATCCTTAGGAATAAAACTGAAATACCTTTTGGAGTATATATAACTGCAGTAACTGTAACTTGTAACTTTAACTGTCCTTATGCTCAGAGTTATTTAGAGTATTCACGGAACAAAGTCTTTCAAATATTCTGGTCTTTTCACCAATCGTCCTCTTGAGGTCTGTCTTTCAGGCGTCACTGTAATTGGTTGTGTCTTGTTATTGTCTCTTTGGGGTGTGACATTAACCACTAACCCAGTTCCGGGAGACTTTCCCACCACTGGTATGGAAATCTGTGTTTTCTTAGGTGTTTCAGGAGGTGCAGTCTCATTGATGTGTAGTTTTCTTTGACTGATCTCTTTCCTTTGTGGATGTGTCGACGACTCGTCAGCTTCATGTTGTCTAGGTGTGTACCGGGGTTGGGGACATCTTATGGTAGTAGTGGCGTCGAATTGTCCTGGACATGCTCGCAGGTGTCTACGATTACGTCGAAATTGTCTTCCATCTTCTGTACGAATCTGGTATGATCGCACATCAACCTGATCTTCAACCTTCGCTTTTATCCACCTCCAATGGCCTGGTGGCTGGAATCTTACTATCTCTCCCTTTTTGAGGGATGGGAGTTCTCTTGATCCCCGGTCGTAGTAAGACATCTGCACTGATTTCTTTCCAGCCAACTTCTCTCCAACGTTGTTTGGAATTTCTGGCTTCAAGAGTTTTCTTGATACTGGAATCAGGATCCTTGTCCGGCTGCCGAACAGTCTCTGAACAGGTGAGGCTTTCATAGTTTCTGATGGAATGTTTCTCAATCCCAGTAGAGCCAAATATGGGTCAGTGTTGGCTTCCTTCGACTTCAAGAGCAAGGTTTTTGCTATTTGCAAGGTTTATGCTCTCTGCTTTGCCATTAGACTCTAGCATATCTTGGGGAACTCGTCACATGTTCCATTCCATTGTTCACCCGTTCTTTGCATCCAGGTGTGTAAAATACTGTGCTCCTCTTAGTTCCGGCAGGATGTCATCTATATTTGGAATTGCATAGTCATTTCTGCGAAGAGCTTTGTTCAAGGGTTTTGGGTCGATACACAGCCGTATGTCACCGTTGGCTTTCATGGCGACTACCAGACTGCTTATCCATTCAGTGGGGGTGTTCACTGGCTTGATGATTTCCAACTTTTCAAGTCTTGCCAATTCTTCTTTAACTTTTGATTTTATTGCAAGTGGCCATCAGAAGGTTCCCCAAAGCATGCTGGGATACACGGGATCATACAGTGTAGCCTATCGGGACCATTCATTGTAGCCTATCGTAACAATATTCACATTCATAGACTAGTCTCTTAACGGCATTTACACTCGGTATCATGTAAGTCAGTATGGTGACTGTTACCCCGGTACATATGCTCACGAGCATGGATATAGGTGCTGTCTAAACAAGAATCGTTATCTGGGCGAATCTGCAGCGATCGTAGGCCACAGGCATGCCAAAGGAACTCCACGATTGACATCGAACTTCGGGGCCATAGACAAGTGGGGCCTGGTTATTATGCTGTGCTCCAGTGAATTTACCACACCATGGGTACGGTGCTGTCTGAACCAGAATCATTATCTGGGCGAATCTGGACATGCCAAAGGAACTCCACGATTGACATCGAATATTTGCGCCATAGACAAGTCGGACACCTGTGAACCTGGCTCTTATGCTGTGCTACAGTGAATTTAGGCGCCGTTTGATAATATTCCAATGTCATGGTTTCGTTTACTGTACTATCTAATGATGATGTCGTCATTATGACCCTCTATTGTTTTATTTGTGCAGGCTGTATTTTAAAAAGGAAGAGAGGATTATATTCCTCCTTTGGGACAACGCCCCTTATTCCCCTAATTCACGAGAGACTTGAATCGCAAGGTTTTTAACACAGCGATACTTGAGAAATGGTGTGAGGAGTGTGATGGGTGGATAGGTGCAATGGTTTGAAGGTGTACAAGTGTAATTGGTGTGATCTGCAATGGAATGGTTGTGTAATGGGTAAATTGTATAGTAGGGGGGTGACGTGACGTTGTGCTGGTATTATCGTGTTACGGTATTACATGACTAGTGTGATGGCATGATTGTGTGATAACGGGAAGGGTATGACTGTTGTGGTTTGTGCCATGGTCTGATGGACCCGTAAATGTGATTGTATGATAGCGGCTGCCGTTTAATGATGAGAAGGGAATTATTAATCATATTCGGGGTATGACGGTGATGGTATGACGTTTATGGGTGGTCGCCAACCTATGCTATTGTAGATCAGATGTTTCCCTTGTGAAGTACATGTACACGGTGTTAAGGCCGTCAAAGTCATCTATTATTTGAGTAATGTCATTGTGATTTGAAACCCCTAATTGTCCGATCAAAATCAAGGCACGGTAGAATATGTACTCAAAATAATAGCGGAGCTCATTAGAGCCAAGATCGCAACATCTGACTCTTAAGAGGCAAACTAGGTGCCGTAACTAGCTTTTATGACTGACATCATCCACTTTACATAATTACCCCCGAGAAGGGACACTAATGCGGTGCAATTATCATGTAATGGTGAGCAAAGAGATATCATTGAACTAAATTTGTTCCTATCTTGAATTAAAAGCCTCTTATCGTGCCATTTTGCTTGGGATAAGGAAACATTCAATATCAAAACCAACCAACATTACTACTGCATGATACTGTACAACCTGCTTTAAACACCTAGAAACTGCAGACACTAACACTTGCATTACCCCCCATGGTAATACGCGCAGCTTATGAATGAGCGCTGACCTCCAAATCAGAAATCGAACTGTTTATTCAAGGTAGATCGATCGAAGATACATAAAATAGCTTTGTCAGGAATGTTTGAGCTCCGGATTGTGCGGGAGATTTACGTTATTGGAACATGAGAGAGATTTAATTGACACTGGGTGATACAACAAACAGTTTGTCTAATAAGAACAAATGATAAAGAGAATCTGCATTCTGTTTTTATTATGTTTCTGACAGCTGGTATTAGGCTTCACAGAAGCTATTCAAGGACGCTTGGTATGAGCCATTTGGTTTAATGTTCAAACAATTACAAACATGTAACCCAATTTTCCCTTTCATATTCTTTTTGCTTCTCGTTTATAACACGTAACTAGGGCTATTAAAACTATAAGTTCGGTCGTGTTTCAATTCACATCAAAGACTTGCAGTACTGCCTCCTAATCACCTGATGATTTGATTTAATGAATTATTTGTTCATTAGAGTGGAGGTGGAACTTTGATTGATTTTCCACACGCAACTTAGACGAAAACGACGGTAGACGTATATATAAAATATCTGTAGAGGTTGTTGAAAGCTAACAAGGTGAATGGTGACGTAACAGCGTAGGGGTTTTTCATGTAAACAGCAAAGTACAGCGTCATGAACAAACCAGCCTTCTGGATTGTTGACATAAATAAGAAAGGAAAGCAGACGGCAGATGTCGTAACAAACAAATCATGCTTACAAGGCTGACATACATGCACGGGAAAGATGTATTCACAAAACTAGGCCACAGCTATTCTGGCAAACAATAAATTACAAATTACAAATAATTCTACACTAGTAGACAGTTGACAGTTGACGCAACATCGACTTCAGAAAATGAAGTAGTTAAAGTAACAAACTGGAGCAGATATTATCATGGTGACAATATTTTCTTCGTTGAAATTTAATATACGTCTCTGTGATGCCTACACTGTGCCAGTACATCCAGTCACTGGGGCACTGGAACACTAAATCTTGTTAGTAATACTCTCCTCTTCGAACGAGTTCTGTCGCAGGACGAAAAAGTTCATAGTTATCGTCCGCTTCGTCCGTCATTTCCTCAACAGCGTCCGACGACTGTCTTCCTGACAAAATGACGTATGTATCTTTCTGGTTTCAAATTACAAGCCGACCTAATTCGGAAATTACCAAAGCGCAAAATATATCTAATATGTCAAATTGGCTGAAGTGGTTCGAAGCCAAACACGTCTTATATTATATGCAAACATGTCCTATATTATATCATCTGTTTCCACAGACAAATGTCATTAATATAATCGCAGACAGTTCCATGGTGTTAGTGATTTATCATAAGGTAGAACCACAATGACATGATAACCTTGGATTAATAATGCATCATTCTTCTTACCAGTCTACTTTGCCAATTGGGGGATCTTTAAAGATCCAAATACGGGAGATATCTAGAGAACACATAATAATGGTGAAATCAAGTGTAGTATTTCAAATGTTGTTTCACTAAAAACAAAAATTTTCATTTGTTCTGAATACGTTAATAGTATGTATGCCATTGGTTTTATTTTGCCAAAGAGAAACGGATTTTACCTCTGTTGTGATGAACTGTTTCAACCACCGTCGAGGGAAATCCTCCACCAGTATATGTATGGGTCGAGCCATCAGCTATCCATCGTTTGTCAGACTGGAAGAACATGTCACCCCCGATGAACACCTTATTCATCACTAGTGATCGCATGAAATTAAAGATTTATTGTGAACTCGAAGTTTCCACATAAGGGGTTGCAGCAATAATTTATCTTCCTTTCCGTCAAAATGCCGACTCGGGGTGTTAAGGATTGTTTAACGGGCACGGACTAGACTCGTCATCAATACAAAGAAAAGCTATGTCGAATCACCTACATTATTCATACAATCCTTAACGACAAGTCTAAAAGATATGTATATTCAAACATGGTGTGAAAGGATATCCTTATCAAATACATGCATGTATTATTCATTGTTTAAAAATGCCATAGTCCTTGAGTCATATCTATCCTGTGTTAATGTTAAAAAGTTTAGAATAGCACTGGCACGATTAAGATGTTCTTCACATGATTTGTTGATTGAAAGAGGCAGATATATGAATGTAAAAAGAGAAAATAGATTATGTACACTTTGTAATTTAAACAAAATAGAAGATATGTATGTCCATTATACATATGTCTTAATATGTCCATTTTTATGACCGGTTGCGAACCAAATATATTAAAAGATATAACTATGTCCATCCAAATGTGATAAAATTCTCCTCACTGGTAAGTAGTAAAAATCAAGTTCTTCTACAAAATATATCAATGTTCATTTACTATGCTATGATTACCCGATCTAAATTCCTCTCAAATGTAACATAACTTTATGTATTATAGGCCTATGGCCTTTTCAGTGCAAATAAAGATTATTATTTATTATACAAGCAAAAGGTTATTTCATCAACGATCATCTTCTTTACTGAATTAAGGTTTTCAAAAATTTAAACTAAAAACACTTATTTGAAAATGACATAGATTTAGTCCGTGATTGCAGCATATAGATGTCTTTCAATCTTTGTGTCAGTGACATGATAAAACTGAATTGTGAGTGAACTTTTTGAATATTCCATACACTACCAAACCGATTTTAGAGAGCAGTTCTCTCACCCTCGTAACCCAGGTTTTTTGAATATTCCAGGTTTGTTTTCCATTCCATGTTTTCGATCATCATATTATAACATATTTTGATATTCTATATGAAGGCATATCTATAAGGTTTAACCAATATTTGACAACATTTATGGAAGAGTAAATATATAGTGGAATTTCGCCAAAAACCATGACACTGGGCGTATTTAATGTTACTCCATGAAATGTCTTGCATGCATATAAGGGTACCATTAAATCATCATATATAATTAATCTATAATACAATATATACAATCAAGTTTTATTGCGTGTTACTATTATTGAGAGAAGCACCTATATACCATGAACAGCACACCCAACACACTCTATCGAGTACAATACCAGAGTGGGCTTTCTCGCAAGATACATTCTAGTTAAGCCACAATATGTATACAAACCTGTAAACCACGTTGTTGTAATAAAGTTACAGAATTGGCATAATCTATGAACAGCTGTATTACAACGAAAATATCAAAGATATACACACAGGTATGACATTTTCAATTACCAAATAGATTTGTCGGTACTTGCAAGAGTAACAGCACAGAGTTAAGGTACAGTAAGTTAAAGTTATATAATAGACTAAGTATTATTGTTAAGATTTAACAAAGTAGAAGACAGTAAAGTTGTTTTTACCTGAGTGATTAAATTAAATCAGTGTATTAACCAGCTACCGAATGATATATGACTGTCTGTCTACTATTCTAGCAACAACACATAATCGCATTTTCTGATAAAATTATACGTTGTTATTGTGAACTTTCGTGGTGCTAGTATGTCTCGAATGAAAACGGCACACGTTATCCGACAAGTGTGGATGAAATCAGCTGTGCGATAAGGCATGGGGAACTTAATTGTTTGCTTTCTACAAATAGTTAAGGCTATGCATTACACGTATTGACCTCGAATTGGTGATATACAACACCACGATTCTTCAACGTTTATGAAATCAACTAATCATTTAGAAGAGCAAATACTGCTGAAGGTCGATTCGATTTGTACAACACTAAAAAGATGTTATTGCTTTGAAGCTGAATAATGACTTTACAAAAAACTTCATATTCAAGTTTCAAAAGAATACCTTTTTTCTAAATCACATTGCATTTTTGTCAAATATATCTATAGTAGAAGTATTTCTGAAGTTAATAAATCGTGGGTTGTTCAATAGCAGAAAACATGAAATGTTCCAATGAAGGTTTACTATGAACACAGACAGTGTTGATTTTTGTTCTTCTCTGATTTATACAAAGCCGGAGGTAATTAGTCTGCTATTGAAGCACTTTCATTTGTTTTTCTCTTTCGAGCAAGGCTGTGCTGGCAATGACTAGAACCCGCGAGCCTAACTGTAGTAAGATAAAAAAATTAAGACAATTTCAGGTATCGGATTTGTCATCCTCAAGTTCAAACGACCTCGTTCATTTTTCCTACATTTATTAATTATTCCAATGAATACATTAGGCTTTGGTTTTGACTAAATTAACAACAACTCGAGGCGTTTCATCTCTCCATTAACACTTGCGAATTCATATGATCTGAGAACTGTGTGTGCTACAGTTCGGCACTTCGTATCAACTGCTGCATTTGCCAAGGCTATACTTCTCAACAGAAAGACTTAAAATCAATGATTATTATACATTCAGACAATACGTTCAATTCTGATTCCTGAAATACAGTAAAACCACTTTCTTTATTCAAGCGGCATAAAAGGGAAGTAAACTTCAGATAACGTCAAGAATATGTTTCACCGCTCTATCTACAGTAGTCCCGTTAATATGAGCATTCCAAGAAATCCTCAATCAGAGCGGATCATTTCAACCGTTGCCCAATTACTATTGTCCATACTTCCGCCAACGAAGGGAATCAAGTACTGTAGAGTGTAGATCCAGTTAGAGGGGTTTAGTGGCACTAGGTGTATACTTTTTACAGACCAAAGCAGGCTTCTTATACCAATTATCACCAACGCAGAACGATGGCTGATACGTTGGTCATTTTTTGACGGTAATTATGTAAAACGCAAGAAAACCACGCCAACACAGACAAGATTCATCAATGTCCAAGATATTTTTATGGATTACACTTCTTTTATATTTCCCTCACGACGTTTCGGGACCATTCCAGGTCCCTTCATCAGGTGAACTGATTTTTAATCAAAGACATCTATGTACAACTTCTAAATGCCACTGAAAGACAAGATTCATAAGCACGTTTGAGTGTGAGTGGAATGAGGCTTAAGAAATCTATATTATTGTGGTCCCACATCCTTTCTCTCCCCCCCCCCTCCCCCCCCTCCCCCCCATTCTAATCGACCCTCTCTGCCCGGTTTCTGTGAAGAACCTGCTTATATATTCTCATCAGGAACGAAAGCCTTTCTTATTTGGATAGATTCTTTCGTGCATGACATCGCATCTAAATTAGACAGACAGATGCTCATGATGTTAATCACTCGTTTGTGCGGTTCAGACTTGATTCTGTAGAGGCCAGCATCGTATAACAGTGTTAGTGCTGAGAATGAAGTTAAACAACAAAAGCACATATAAACAAGAGCATGGTCATATCTGCAGTATATCCATTCTGAATTATTAAAAGTACCCAACGTTTCGATGTCAAAACAAGATGGCATAGGCTAGTTACACATTACATGATTTGAACATGTAGCATGAGTACGTATAGTTTATGGCGAGGATTACCGAATTTCAGCCGCACATTGCGGAAATGACGCACCTTTTTCGAAACCTTTTTCGAAACTTCAGCCAAACGGTGAAATTCTGTATAGCAGGAGTGAATTTAAATTGATCACATAAAACAGTGTATGCTTTACATATGCTTTAATGCAATACTAGCTGTTGAATCTTACTCGGTACTTACAAACTTGCCACTTATCCTACTGTTATAAATGATTAAAATATCTAACTCATATTAAACAAACAGATATACACAGGTTGCGCACGGGTATATATATTGTCAATAATGCGGCCTGCTTGACGTAGTGTGTATGTTTGTCAGAACGTTTCACCCATTCCGTTTGTTGAGCGTCGAGGCAATCAATATACATGTGTAACGAGCAGAATAAACAAAAGAAAACAATAGTTTTTGCTCCATAAACTCTCGAGATGAAACAGCCTGTTGTTCTCTCGGTTGGACAAGCCATGATTTACTGGTGATTATAGGCAGTGCATAAATACTATACCAAGCGCTGCAGCAGTTGTCGGGCCACTTTCTGGAGTATGCCATGGTAATGAAGCTGTCACTGACTCATTTATCATACGTGCCTTTGTGGAGAGCGTTATAGGCTCAAACATCAAACAACTATTCGATATTCTAATGAAAAGCTTTCGTCCATGGGAGAGGAATTAGCTTACTGGAATTGTAGTGATTCTGGTTGCGCGACGACTAAATACATTGCGGTTTTACTGGACCGCGAATGACGAATGCGATCTTGTTAGGATCACGAATTATCGTATGGTATTGAAAGATTTCTCAAAGGAATGGGCTATGTCTTTGATGACAAAGACGTCTCCGTCAGATGCATGTTTCTTTACGAGCTAACATATCGTGTCATGGAGTGCACATGCCTGCATGTAGACGTTGTGTATATTCTTCTTGGTTTGATGGTTATTATTAATAGGCTGTTGTTGTAGATGTTGATGGTCTTGGTTTTGTGTGTTGTTACTGATTGTTTCGGTACATAATGCATTTGTCTTTCACTCTTTGCGTTTATTGTATTTGTTTGGGTGTTTTCGTTCTAAACACGACTGTTTGAAAGTGAAAGGGTTTGTCTTCAAGTAAACTGTTTTAAATAGTCACCTTCCTCATATGTCGAGCATTATTCAAGCGGCTCCAGGCTTTCGTGTTTCCATTTCAGTTTCTCACTCTGCATGCATCTCAAAAAGTGCCTCTTCCTCAGAAGATGTTTGACAAGTTTACAACATTCAAGGCCTCGGTAAATTCATTACGCTAGTCATCATTGACAACATTCATGTCAAATGTCAAGTGTCCCTTTGTTGTACATAATGTTGCTTTTTATTATCGTTTTGTTGATAATTGTAATGTTGTTTACAATGTTGTTTACGACTTGATGTAGGTGATGTTTGTGTTTATATTTAAGTTTTTACATTTATATTTCGTTGTATCTAGTAGTCAATTCTAGATTTTCTACCGTAATTGGTGTGTATCCTCATGTAACGTTTGTGTTATTTATTGTTGGTGGTGATATCGATTTGTATTTGGCCTTTCACGTTGTGGTGTTTGCATGGATGACTGTATATTTTTTATATCTCTTCTGATGGTATTGATGATTTCATATTGTTGTGACATTGTCCAGTAAGGGTTTGCATTATGGGATTCAGCGACTGGGCTGATTCCATGTCGCCCTGCTTTGGTGTTTTCTGGTGTAAGTGGTATTCCGTTGATGCGTCAATGCACTTTTAGTGATCTTATGTCATATTTTTAATAATGATCATGCTTCTATAATTGGTCTTATCGTCGATTAAAGGGTAATTCCGTCTTAATTGATAGCACAAATTTAAGACATGTCCCACTGGAATCGATCAGGATTGCTGCCATGAAATGTTTTCAAAGACGCAAATGAAAAGCAATATAGCGCCCCCTACCTCCTCATGTAGTACAGCTGCCATATCTGGCAAGGTCAAGACCAATATTCAGCAGTAATATGTATCACCTTGACAGGAGGTCGCGTTAATATGTATGAACCTCACGTTCCGATATTTGCAAGCAACGATATTGTCCAGTTATCGATCACGCCTAGGCTGACCAGAAGTCTGGTTAAGCGGAATTAATTAAGCTATATAAACACAACACTCGCACATCGATTGCCAAGACAGAACAATTTGATGACTAAACAGAAACCTTGGGCATGTTTATATTTTCTTATTGTGTGCGTGCAGTCAACATAATCCAATTTAGGATACAGCTACGTGATTCTGCACGTGTAATCATGCCGACAATATCTATGTACCTCCTGCTGAATAGGATTTTTGTCTCCTTACATTCACGCTTGTCATATCCGCGAATCAAAGACATAAAAGACAGATATAGAATGTACGGGTTTCTGGTCAACTGCCCATTGGTCTGCTCAGTCTCAGTCGACAAGCTTCTTTGGCCCCGCGGAATATCTGACACAGCGTCTCAACATATCCATTTGTTCGTGAATAAGACATGCATTAAAGCTTCCTTAAACAAATAAGCTTAAACCACTCCAGAGCGTATCCTGTTTAATTTCCGTGATATCAAAACAACACTATCGGAAATATACCCTGATGTGTAACAATCTTTTAACTGATGTTTGTGTAAGTACATATCACCTTTCGTAATATCCCACAGTGATTCCTGTTAATCTAATATCTAAATGTGCCTCTGCATTGTGTACGAAGATGAAATGCAGAGATGAGCTGGTGATAAATGATTGTGATAATTAGTCCTTGGAGTGATGATTCAGATGTATGGAATTATCATATCCGTAGAGTAGACACATACAGCTGACTTACTCACAGCCAGCTCCCACCAGTGTATAGTTTGTGCAGAGGGGTGGTAGTTTATGAATTAAAGTTTGGCTATAGCATCTGTAGAGGACTGTTTTTGTCTGACGAATAGATTGGCTATTGGTGATGAAGTGAGTCGGATGTTTGTGATGAATAGATTGGATATATGTGAGGAAGTGAACAAACGATTGGCTATTCGTTGTGTAGGTACCTGAACGTATGGATTGGTTATATTAGACACAGATAGCGTTAACTAATAGTAGATAATGCACAGTTAGTGTTAATGTAGAGTTCATGTTTGGTTATGCATAGATTCGGTTGTGTGTTCCTGAAAGCTCGACTTTTCATTGACGAAGAGCACATACCTACTCCAATCGCCTTGTGAATCCTCACTTGGGACTAATGCAGTGCCAAAGGTTTCGTTTTAAAGACCTGGCGTTATAACTCAGTGTTCTACCACGTGGAAAGCAGACCGGAAACCATCATCGTTAGCACAATAAGAAGTCCTTGCATGAGCTTACTGCACTTTCGTCCATACCCGTATTTAAACGTTGACCAGTGGGCTGACTATTGTGTATAACAACATGTACCCACGCCACTGATTGGATTATAGAACTATTTTAAGGAAGTAAAGGAAAAGAGCACTTCGTACTGTTTACTTCGATTGATTTTTGATATTAATGTCTGAAGTAGAAGCAGAAAAATTGCATGTAAGAGACACTATATCAGATTGAATTACATATATATCAGATTGTAATTATCATTGTTGCAAGGACTTTGAAAGAACCAGTTGTGTTCACAGTGGAATTCCCACAAGGTTCAGTCCTGGTCCCTATCTTGTTTATCCTAAATGCTAATATCATTGCTGATTTTTAAAATTTAGTTTTAGTACAACTTTTGTTGGAATTGTAGGAACAACGCACACAATGTTGGTTTTATTAAATCGGTTATGTGAATGGAAGGGATGCATTTTTTTCCGTATGACAAAAAATTAAGACACTCTTGTCATTCCAATTTCCATCTGAGTCTGTCATTCCGAATGATGAAGGTCCGAAGTGATGAAGGTCTCAGACGTTACCCACCACAACAAACAAATATTGATTAATTCAATTTGTTTCAGTACATTGTAGGTTGTATGTCTCTTCCAACTCCACCGAAATATTCTACAGGTTTAGATCGTACACCATAAAACATGCAAAACCCTTCGTAACAATATTGCTGGAAATGTCTTTCATGCCGGTTCTCGTAACAGTTACCTTTTTTGGTTTCACGAAGTGAACACAGATTTAAGACCCATTTCCACAAAAAAGTACATCGAAGTTCAACTAAGAATTACAATATCCATGTATAAAGAAACCCTCTTTACAAACGTACAGGTGTGAAATTCGCATATACACAGCTCCCATTAGTAGAGATAATGTCCGTCCCCAGCGGGCACTTCAACGTTGTTTCAACGTTGAGAATAGGTTGGTCCTCAACGTCGAAATTAGGTTGAAAATAGGTTGTATATGAAAGTTTTTAGACGTAGATATCCGACGTGGAATCAACGTTGAAGTTTGACCTATTATCAACGTCGAAAAAAGGCTGTATATGAATTTTTTTAGGCGTAGATATCCGACGTGGAATCAACGTTGAAGTTTGACCTATTATCAACGTTGAAAAAAGGCTGTATATGAATTTTTTTAGGCGTAGATATCCGACGTGGAATCAACGTTGAAGTTTGACATATTATTAACGTTGAAAATGGGTTGTTCCGTAGTTTGTGTATGGGAGTTTTTCTTATATAGAAATCTAACGTAAACACGTGAAAATTCAACCCAGGTTACACTATGTGTATTCCGTATTGATGTAAATAACCATGCATTTCAACTTTAAATTACACTAAGGTAGCACTTAACTTCTGCATCTAATTAAGTACCCCAAAAAGCTACCTGCAATAAACAATGAAACAGAAAATTACAGTAAAAATATTTACCTAATAAAATACGTGGTCAAAATTTTACATTCAATATAGCGTTCATTTAAGTTTTATGTCAGTTGGATATAATTCCAGTAAGAAGGAAAGAGTATTCCAAATTAAGAAAACTTATTTACTGTTGTATTGTTATCTTGAAAAGGTGGAAATTGCCCCGAGAAGACATTTTTGATGAATTTCAGCTATTAGATAGATCCCCGAATAAACACAATTCAATTACTTTCACCATTAAAGGAATCTAAGATGACCATGAACTATACCTAAAGACAGAACATAAAACAAGTCACTTTTCATGAAATCTTCATACATGACATTCTGTAGGTGATCTCTGTTGGTGATAATAACACAATATCATCTGCATTTATCATTAAACTGACATTCAAGCCACCAATTTCAATGTCACAGTTCAGATCTTTAAACACAATTATAACTCCAAAACACACAACTATTAGCTCCTCTGTTTCTGGCACTCCCACCCTGAGGGTCAGGTGCATACTTCAGAAAGGTTCCTAACTCTTTCTTGAAAATTGCTTCGGTTGCATTCCCATCCTGAGATAGGACACATTCTGAAATATTTATATATAAATACATATAAATTTTATATGGAAGATATGTTGTCTTAAATGATTCAAGTATTTGTTAAATCAATCACAAGAAAGGTTCACTTCACTGCTGTAACTCGGTATGTGAACATATAGCATCCATACAATATATGAGGAAAAGTACTTTTATAATGTAAACAATATATATTTTCAATTAAATGAATGGACGTCTTCTTAAACATTTTCAAAGAAAATCCTCAATTGCAAACTGATTATTCAATTAGACTATGAATTAGAATGAATTAGACAATGTTTTACTGTCATTAATTATTTGCTATGGTCATGATGGAAGAGCATTTGGTAGTTAACTTACCAGAGATGATTGAATACAACCTTGTATTTTTAATAGAAAACTTGCCGTTTCGCCCATCAACATTCATTTTTGACATCAAATTGTTTGACGTTGTCCTGCAAAACAATGGAAGTTTGTTGTTATTCTGTCAGATTTAGTTTTCTTTAGAGATTCCGTATTTAAAATTAGATAGGAGTTGTACTGATGTAGCAATTTTTGCTAACAGGAGTTATAAATTGTAACAAAAGCCATTTATTACATTAAAGGATGAGAAAACAAAGTGCGTGGTAATAAAAGTACATTATCATCTTCTCTTAATCTTTGTGTTGGAGATACTGGTAAACAAGTGACATGTTAAAATTTTTTTACCTTAGCATTACTCTTTTCATGTGATCCACAAAATTGATGCCACCCAATCTTCGAAGATGAGATTTCTGCAAATTCAATTAAAGATAAATCTTATGTTTCATGATTAAATGTTCCTTTATAAATTACTTCTTTTATATGTAACATTTTAACCGTTAAGGATGTAAATCATCACATCCCTTCCAAATCAGTTTAAGAATTAAGTCTATGGGTGCAGTTTTGTTAACTGTCCCATCAAAGAATCATTAGTGAAGTTACATCTTTTGTAAATAAATAAAAGTTTTAAAAAATTATGTACAATTTCACCCTTCACAAAGACATGCACAAGACATTTTCTTGTGAATTTTTGTTGCATGATCTGAGAAAGATTTCCTTTCGCCATTCTCCATCCCCATCCCCATCCCCACCCCACGCACGCCTAGTCAAAACATTGATTGCACAACAGTGTAGTTTCCTGCTGACTGGGTTCCGTCCTATTGCGCAACTTCGTACAATAACCAGTCCAGAATGTTTAGATCAATTCATTCAACTGGATGCATAAATATTAATCAGTATTATTTGATACGTCTAAGCACTTGCATATTGCAATACTACGCTCTTTCTAATCCTTGCAAACACGTTGTGCAGCGTGCTCTGTCGTACAGCGTGCTCTGACAAACGGAAATCTGGAAATCGTGGAAATCTCAAAACGAGGCTCTGCCGCTAGAAAAGTTTGGCGGTCTGGTACGGACTTGATATTATATCAATCACGCTGTGCGTTACAAAACTACACTGAATAAGCGCAAAGAACACATAAAGGTGTAACCAGTGAGCCAGATGAATTATGAATCATTTTACGACCTCATCAAACAGGGGCAGTCTGTGACGTCTTTGTTAGCGACATGCTGCCTACACCTCGCCATAACATATAGAAATACGATGTTATTTAAGTTTAAAATTAAAATTAACTTGTAAATACCATTTTCTTATGAAACAAAGAATTGGAATTCAGTGTGACCATAGTTGTTTGTGGTGTCTCTTTTCACTTTCACACGAGAAAATTCGGATCGGCTGAAAAGTAGGTCATTGTCTGAATAGGCTAATGAGATTCATGTTTCGGTTTGCAAACCCAAAATTAATATACATACGCTGACAGAGTTCAGAGCGTGCACTGCTCAATGCACAATTTACTGCTAGATCTATTCAAACCTACAGATTTTCATAATAATGTGATTTTAATATAAAATATTAATAGATTCTATTTGATTTCGTATAGTCTTATATAATAAAATGCCAAATATATGCATGCAAATATTTTGAAATATAACAAAACAAGTTCATGGAAAACATGGGCTTCCACGAAATTGAGAAACACCTACATGACATACCAGTAATCTTGTGAGATAAACATAAGCCCTAATTCGAATTTCCTGCTACATTAACATGCTAGATTTAAACAACATTCTTATGTGTTCATTATACATGAATGAAATACTAACCAAATAAACACCAGCATGCCGAGAAGCTATTGAAAATAAAACGATGTTGCGGTGAACTTCGCCAAAGTGAAACGACGAACTGACAACGATCTACTGCCTTTGCGCGCGCGATAAATGTGCGCATGTCCGGATATGATCAAACGAGGCGATCGACAGGTCAACATCTGGTATGTGTTTGACAGCAAATTGTCGGGAATTATAAGATTTTGACAATTTTGTGGGAAAATATGATATTTAATGCAATTCGGATAACTGATGACTTTATACTAAAATCATTGAATTTTTCATTTTCAATTACGACAAACGTAACATTTCCGTCCGTTGATCGATGCACAATCATACAATATATTAGATTATATCTGGGCCTAGGTCGATCTGGATCATTTATCAAATTAATGTTCAGAAATGATAGTTGCTAAGTTGGATACCTATTACCAATACATGTATATGTAACAAATGTACCCAGGATACAATTAGTCGACATTTCGTTGGTTCCTTACGTTGAAACAACGTTGACAACTAAACGAATCTCGACTAATTTTCTTTGGTCGCATGATAAACGTTGAATCAACGTTTATGAAAGGTTGATCAACCAAACAACCAAAAGTCAACGTTGATTAAACGTTGACTCAACGTTGTGTACCAGCTGGGTCATGACCTTATCCCGATGTCATTCAGTGCATCAGCTTTGCCGCAATGATGGTGGGAGTAAGTCTACTTGACTGATATGACGTTGGCTTCAGTCAATCACACATTGTGGCTGATTCTGGCGTGAGACTCCGCACCAATTGATTTGTTTTCTTCCTGTATACGCAATTTAAGACCTATTTCTACACATCATCACGTGAAAAAGTACATGGACGTTCCCTATAAAGAACACACGTATTGATGAATAAAGAAACCCTCTTTACAAACGTAGAAGCGTGAAATTCGCAAATACACAACGCCCATTACCAGAGATGAAATACCGCCGTGGTCTCCGATATCACGTTCCCCCGATGTCACTCAGTGCATCAGCTTTGCAGCAATGGTGGGAATAAGTCTACTTGTCTGATGTGGCGTTGGTTTCAGTCAATCACACATTATGGCTGATTCTCGCTTGAGACTCCGCACCAATTGATTTGTTTTCTTCCGGTATACGCAATACATTTCGCCGACCAGTGACGGAGAATCGGAATGGAACGAGTCCCTTGGGGTCATATTCACAGACTGGTCTCTTGACGGGATTTACACTCGGTATCATGTAAGTCAGTCTGGTGACTGTTACCCCGGTACATATGCTCACGAGCATGGATATGGTGTTGTCTAAACAAGAATCGTTATCTGGGCGAATCTGCAACGATCGTAGGCCACAGGCATGCCAAAGGAATTTCGGGGCCATAGACAAGTGGGGCCTGGTTATTATGCTGTGCTCCAGTGAATTTACCCGTGAATTTACCACACCATGGGTATGGTGCTGTCTGAACAAGAATCATTATCTTGGCGAATCTGGGCATGCCAAAGGAACTCCACGATTGACATCGAATATTTGCGCCATAGACAAGTGGGTCACCTGTGAACCAGGGCCTAGATTTTCGAAACTCTCTTAGCGCTAAGATAGTCGTAAGTGCCATACATTAACATTAACTTACGACTATCTTAGTGCTAAGAGAGCTTCGAAAATCTAGACCCTGGCTATTATGCTGTGTTACAGTGAATTTAGGCGTCGTTTGATAATATTCCAATGTCATGGTTTCGTTTACTGTACTATCTAATGATTATGTCGTCATTATGACCCTCTCCTGTTTTCTTTGTGCAGGCTGTATTTTAAAAAGAAAGAGAGGATTATATTCCTTCTTTGGGACAACGCCCCCTTATTCTCCTAATTCACAATAATCGCAAGGTTTTTAACACAGCGATACTTGAGAAATGGTGTGAGGAGTGTGATGGGTGGATAGGTGCAATGGTTTGAAGGTGTGCAAGTGTAATGGGTGTGATCTGCAATGGAATGGTTGTGTAATGGGTAATTGTATAGTAGGGGGATGACGTGATGTTGTGCAGGTATTATCGTGTTACGGTATTACATGACTGGTGTGATGGCATGATAGTGTGATAACGGGATGGGTATGACTGTTATAGTTTGTGCCATGGTCTGATGGACCCGTAAATGTGATTGTATGATGGCCGCTGCCGTTTAATGATGAGAGAAGGGAATTATTAATCATATGCGGGGTATGACGGTGATGGTATGACGTTTATGGGTGGTCGTCAACCTATGCTATTGTAGGTTAGATGCTTCCCTTGTGAAGTACGTACACGGTGTTAAGGCCGTCAAAGTCATATATTTATTGGAATAATGTTATTGCGGTTTGAAACCCCTAATTGTCCGATCAAAATCAAGGCACGGTAGAATATGTACACACAAAAAATAGCGGAGCCAAACAAGCATGCATGCATGCACGTTATAGCCAAGATTGCAACATCTCACTCTAAAGAGGCAAACGAGATACTGTAACTAGCTGTTATAACTTACATCAACCACTTAACATATTTACCCCCGAACTGACAGTAATGCGGTGCAATTATCATGTAATGGTGAGCAAAAAGATATCATTGAACTAAATTTGTTCCAATCTTGAATTAAAAGCCTCTTAACAATTAAACAAAACAACATTACTACTGTATGCTATAGTTCAACCTGTTATACACCAGCAGTCTTGGGGACCTTATTACTCGGCATAACATCTTACATCATTGTTATGCTGATGATACTCAACTTTTAAGAAAACTCAATGTTAATGATGCAAAATCACAAGTTGCAGAAGTTGAAGTGTGTGTAGGCAATGTGAAGACATGGATGACAGCAAGTAAACTCAAACTAAACGATAACAAAACAGACATTCTCATAGCTTGTTCACCAGCCAACAGAGCTAAACTGAGTGTGAATTCACTTAAGATAGGTGAATCTCAGATCTCCGTGAGCCCTACAGTAAAAAACCTGGGTGTCATGATAGATTCTACACTTTCTATGGAGCAACACGTCAGCAACTTATGTAAAATCTGTTATCATCACATAAGGAATATCTCCAGCATACGCCACCTATTAACAACTGACGCAACACACCATCTTGTAAGATCTTTGGTGTTGTCCCGCTTGGACTACTGTAATAGTCTGCTTGGGAACATGAACAAAGACCTGCTTTCCAGGCTGCAAAAAGTCCAAAATGCAGCTGCCAGATTGATCTGTAGAACCACCAAGCACAGTCACATCTCCCCAATCCTCATGCGCCTGCACTGGTTACCACTCCCAGCTAGGATAGAATACAAAATACTTAGCATGACTTACAGATGTCTTAACAACGCAGCTCCATCCATCTCTCTAGTCTTGTAAGGGAGTATGTTCCAACCAGGACTCTGAGATCAGCCAATCAGTCGCTGCTCATCATCCCAAATGCACGTCTGAAGACATATGGACACCGACGTTTTTCCTACTTGTCAGCTATCCTCTGGAACAATCTGCACGTGTCTCTCAAAGAATCCCCCTCAATAGCCAGCTTCCAGTCTAACCTAAAAACTTTCCTGTTCAAGAAGCACTATGACTTCTAAATGAACTCCTATTGTAAATATGTATATAGTTAGCGCCATGAGCAACCACTTGGTGATCGGATATAGGGCGCTATACAAATGGACTTATTATTATTATTAATATTATAAACACCAATAACCTACAGACACCAACACTTGCATTATTCCTAATGGTAATACGCGCAGATTATAAATGAGCGCTGACCTCCAAATCAGAAATTGAACTGTTTACTCAAGGTAGATCGATCGAAGTTACATAAAGTAGCTTTGTCAGGAATGTTTGAGCTCCGGATTGTGCGGGAGATTTACGTTATTAAAACATGAGAGAGATTTAATTGACACTGGGTGATACAACAAACAGTTTGTGTAATAAGAACAAATGATAAATATAATCTGCATTCTGTTTTCATTATGTTTCTGACAGCTGGTATTAGGCTTCATAGAAGCTATTCGAGTACGCTCGGTACGAGTCATTTGGTTTAATGTTCAAACAATTGCAAACGTGTAACCCAAGTTTCCCTTTCATATTGTTTTTGCTTCTCGTTTATAACACGTAACTAGTGCTATTAAAACTATAAGTTCAGTCGTGTTTCAATTCACATCAAAGACTTGCAGTACTGCCTCCTGATCAC